AAAAAAAAAAAAAAAAAAAAAAAAAAAAAATCATCCAAAAAGAAAACTTTGTACCTATGAGCAGTCAACTCTATTTTTCCCCAATCCTGCCCTCAGCCTTTAGTGATCACTAATATATTTTCTCTCTGTAGATTTGCTTCTTCTGAACCTTTCAAATGGATAAAATCATATAATATCCAGTCTTTTGTGACTGGCTTCTTTAACTTAACATCATATTGTTGATGGTCATCCACACTGTAGCACATATCAGTAATTTGTTTCTTTTTATTGTTTTCATTTCATTATATGCATGTACCACATGTTACTTATACACTCACCATTTGTTAGGCATTTGGATTATTTCTATGTTTTGGTATGAATAATGCTACTATGATCTTTTGTGTACATATGTTTCCATTTTTCTTGGCCTTATACTTAGCAGAACTGCTGTATCATGTTAACTCTATGTTTGATATTTTGAGGAGCTGTCAAAATGTTTTCTGAGTGTCTGTATCATCTTACCTTCCTACCATCAGAATGCGAAGGCTCCAATTTTTGCCAGCATTGTCATTGCCCATTGTTTGGCTTTCAGCCATCCTGATGAGTATGAAGTGTGTCTCCTTACAATTTTGATTTCTATCTCCCAGATGATTAATCACACTGAGCATCTTTTCATGTATTTTCTTTGGAGAAATGTCTACTCATCCTCTTCCATTTTATAATTGTATTTGGTATTTGTTTGTTTGTTTGTTTACTGTATTGTTGAGTTACACAAGTTCCTTACATATTCTGTATACAAGTGCATAGCAAATATCTGACTGGCAAGTATTTTCTCACATACTGTGAATTATCTTTTCATTTGTTAGTAGTGTCATTTGAAGCAAAAATTTTGAATTTCGATGAAGTCCAATTTATCTATTTTTACCTGTGTTACTTGTGCTTTTGGTGTCATACTAAGAAACCATTTCCTAGCCTATGATCATGAAGATTTTTCCCACATTTCTGCAAAGGGTTTAATCACTGTAGCTCTTGTATTTATGCCTGTTATCCATTTTGAGGTAGAATACAAAGTGTTCAACTTCATTCTTTGCATGTGAGTATCCAGTTGTCTCAGTACTATTTGTTGAAACGAATATTATATCTCTATTGAATTATTTTCCTGCTCTTATACAAAATTAACAACCATAAAATTCAGAGTTTATTGCTGGGCTGTCATCACCACAGCCTTAATTATGGTAGTTTCCCTTTTTCTATTTAGTTATCTCTTAATTATATAATTAAAATTTTTTGATTGGGTATAACTGATAAATAAAATCATATGTAAAGCATAAAACAACATATTTTGAGATAATATATTTGTAAAATGATTAGTACAATCAAGTCAATCACCATATCCACCACCTCATATATTTATAGCAATTCTTAATTTCCTCAGTTTAGAAACCTTTTATAATAGCACAAGTCAGATAATAATACTTTTAAGAAGAAAAACTCCCAGAGACAAATTT